CACCTCTGAAGTGAACGCGGACGTAAAAAGGTAAGCCACTCAATATCACTCTGGATTGTGGCAATAATTCACTTGGTTTATAAATTCCGTTAAGTTAATCTTTTCCTGTGTGATTTTGAGTCGAGGGAACGTAACGATAGAGGTGCATTTATTCCTGTATGTTTGTTACACTTCAGTTTAAGGTATTGATGTAAATCTGAGCCCCTTTCACGTTGAAACTCTATACTAGCGTGAATCGAGATCTGTTTCTACGATGCAGCTCAGGGCAACAGATCCTTAAATTGAAATGGTACCCTCAGTTTTCTTTTAACTCTTTGTGTATTTTGACATTATTTTGAAATTCATTTCCCATCCTATCTCGATTCTAGGGCCACTGATTAGGATTAAAACTGTTAAATTCGATGAGCCGAAACAAAATATGCTTAACAAGCATGTTTTGATCCGACGGCCTAATGAAAGGAAAGCGAAACAAAGTCGAAAGCTCAAAAGGGAAATACCCCATATCTATTTTCCTACTATCCATCCTGCCACGTACCCACCGAATATTGAACGTCAATTGGTGGTGTTTTCAAATAAGAGTACGGCTTTTGGAAGAGTTTCATTTAATACGTCAACGACTAAGACGTTTGCAAGTTTACATATAGAACCTGATATATTAGCGAGAGTAATCCCATTCAACCGGATATAATATCAAAGCATTGGATGCACCAAAGCTTCAAGGAATCTTAAGTTGTGTTGTTAATCTAGTTTGTTTCGTGCATAAACGTTTAATACTTATTTAGATTGAAAGTTTCCATAGTGGTGACTTATTTAACACATGGTTGTGTTGAACATACTCAATAGTTATTAGCGGATACTAGTAACAGAAGTGTTCGGGGGTGTTATGAATTAAGTCGGTTATTTCAATTCAGGCCCTTAACAAATAAGTTGGGTTAGTTACTTGACTGATATTTCGCAAAAAGGTTTGTTTTAAGGATCATCCATCGTTTCGGTTGATATTAGACTAGCTAGCCTAATAGTTTACTGAAGTGGTAACGAGTGGTTAGTAATTAAGCAATAGAGCACTTTTTCCGTGTTTACATAGACTCATCTAAACACGAGGGGGGTTCGGAGAATCCGAAACAGTTATGCAAACCCTCGACTACGTCTCGGGTTTGTCGAGAATTCTCGCAACCCCCTGAGTGTTTAGATGAGGCTATGTAAACACGGAAAAAGTGCTCTGTTGCTTTTATAAAATAATTCTCAAAAATACACGCGAACCTAAAATGTCACAACCATGCTTACATACTCTCATCTAAACACACCTATCGACCAATGAGAGCGCGCGTAGTAGCTCAGTTATTTTGTAACTGTAAATTAAATAACAGTGACTTTAATTTTACAGATTGAATATGGCTAGATTTGAGTGCTCTTGTATATACCAAGCTCTCTCAAGCACTTCAGAAAAGGTCAGAAAAATCCCCGAAGTCTAGGTTTGTTATGGTGGTTGCCATCTTAAAAATCCTTGATAAATAGTACTGGTCGGGTACACTGTCATAAAGTGTGTGAAATAACAATTGTTAATGAAATTTTATACAGGAGCCATCTTTAGCGCTACTTATAATTTGACCTCAACAACTTATTTCACAGTTGTATTACAAATAACATACTTTGAATGCGATGTGGTAGGTTTGAAACATCATTGTCAAGTTTTAGGAGGAGTGTAACAGTGTTATACCGGTCAAGCAGAGGACTGAAATGGCAGGTGAGTTCAACATTCAACTTTATTTATAATCTGACAGTCAGCTGATAAAAACGGATCTGCATGCAGAGAGTGTGTTGGGATTGTACAGATATTTATGTGGATACAGATGATTATAACAAACTATCTACATGTATGGTTTCATAAACGCCATTGCCTCTGATGTCTTACTAAAACAACCAGGAAGAATACAATTGTTTTGGAGTTTTATATCGCAAAGCGTTTGAATGTGACTTATTTATAGTCGAGAACTTTGCTGAAAGTGATGTTCATGATTTTTATAACTGGACTAATTGTTGTTCATTGTGGTACAGTACGTGAATAAGAGTCCACCCCCACCTCTCAGAAACAACCACACCCTTTAAGGAATAGACCTTTTTAGCTTGGGTGGTTTGTTTTCCCATCACAGACCACATGATATTCTCACGAGAATTAATCTTTTATCCATCTAAAAATTCTTCATTCAAAGAAAAGTGACCCCTGCTTGACTATTTGAAAATTTGAAAGGAACTGAGAATTCTCAAGAGTACCATCACATGGTCTGACTGGGTGACGGGGGCCGCAAACCGCCCAAGCTAAAAAGGTCTATTCATGATAGCTTTGCTATTAATAATGAAATTAACGTGCTGGAATATTGTGTGACGTTCATCGGGAATGGCCATGATGACCTCAGTCAGTTACATGACGATTTGGCTGAAAAAACTCCAAAGAAAGGCTATCTGAAACAATTTTATGCGGGACTGCCCATAATAAACGTAGGCTCGTAGCTTTAATATAAAAAAATGTATATGCAAGAAAGGATGGATAGAAAAACTCATTCTTTACAACCTGTTCA